AGACAGAAGATGGTTTTTGGTTTTGGTAAAGCTGGATGATGCTGAAGTGGGAGAGGTGAGGGTATCTGAGTTTGACATGACCTTTGGTGGTCTCTTGCAGCCACTGCTCCAATCTATCAATCCAGGGACAGGGTATTCCCTTGCAGTGCTCCTCATTTTCTATCAACAACATTCATGAATCTCCAAAGTGGTCTTAACTGACAGTGGGCAAGGAAACAGGGAAGTTGTGAGTCACCTGGTCACTGGATGAGAATGGACACAAGGGTCCTTCGACAAGTTAGCATCCACACTTAGCTTTTACCCAAGAAAAGTCTGCACCAAATGCGTATCCTTCCCCTTGCCTAAATAGAAACCTCAACTCGGGCAAATCATAGATTAAGCCATAAATTACTCTCAGAAATGAATGAGTCTACAGCTGAACTGAAGAGTGTCCTGGAGATGGTAATGAACTTTGAGGCCAGCGTGAGCCACAAGTCTGCTCCTTTACACAAGAGAAGGGGGAACACCCTCCCTTGGCTGAACACAGTACAATACTTAGGCAGCTGGAGGCCAATCATAAATGGGAGCAGCTTAGAGTGTCACTATTGGAGGGAAGGGCTGGCACTGGAGGCTGGGTGAAGAGCTGGGTCACACCTGGCAACAGTGAGTTGCTGCCAATGAGCTAGATTTTTATTTGTAATACATATTCCAATCCTAGCTCTATCTCTGACTAGGGAGTGACACTGGACAAGTCCCTTAGCCTCTTTGGGCCTCATTTTCTCCACCTCTAAAACAGCAATTCTAACAATTCTGGTCATATCTACTTCACAGAACTGTTGTGAGAGTCAACTGAGACCACATATGTGAAACACACTTGGTAGATTCCAATGTGCTATCGAAATGCTAATTATTATTGTGTGATTTTGTTACAGCTGGGACCAAATGCTTTCTGGAACATGTCTGTAATTATTTACTGAATACCATGGGAATTGATGGGGGAATTCCCTTAATGAATAAAAGCTTCAAAGCAAGCTTTGCTGGAAACCAGCTCTCCATCACAGGAGGAATTACGGGCTGGTTACCTGAGGGCAGGCCCTTTGTGTCACAGAGGCGGAAATGTGGGCACCTGCTGGGGACCCTGCTGGGGAACAGCCCCTTCTTCCTGCTCCTATCCAGAGCATGCCCCCATCAGCTGAGCCGCCCACCTGCCAACAGCTCTGGAGGAACAGAACAGCCAGGACTCTAGAGTCAGGTGGCCCACAGTTCCAAACCCACCGCAATGCAACCACTTCCTGTGCGGAGATTGGACATGTTCTTTAGACTTTTGGAGCCACTCTTTATTTATAATAATAATAATGACAGCTGTTACTTTTTATGGTACTCTTACTATGTGCCAGACAATGCATTAAGTATTATCTCATCTAACCCTTACAATCAACCAACAAGATACCCAATTTACAGATGGAGAAACAAGAGGCCACAAAAGTTGAGAGACATGCCCGAGGTCACACAGGAAGTGAGGGGTGCAGCCAGGATTTAAAATCTGTCTCGCTCCATGGGGCAAGACAGTCTCTCAGATCTTTTCGGGCTCTGATGCTGTACTGTTCTAATAACAACCCTCACAGCTCAACGACACTTTGTAGTTTCCAAAGGTCATACAGAGGTTAAGAGAAGAGGCTCTGAGTTAGCCTGCCTGGGTTCCAATCAGGCTGTGCCATTTACTGTGAGACCCTGGGGAGGTTACTTAATCTGTCTGAGACTCTGTCCCTTCATCTCTATAATCGAGATGACAACAGCATCCACACACGGCTGTTGTGAGAATTATGTATGATGATGCCCTTTAAACCCCTGGCACACAGGACATCCTCATTAAGGTTCCTTTTGTCTTCGGTGTCCCTTCGCATTCCTCTCCTCTAGCAGCTGTGTAAGACGCTGTTCCCTGTCTACACTAGTGGTCTCCATGTGATGCTTCACTGAGCCCAGGGGTCCTCGGGGGGCAGTGAGGGAAGACTGAAGGAGCCAGGCTCTGTGGACCCCACCAGCTCCATCACTGAGCACATCTCATCTGCTTTTCTCTGATTCTGTCTTTTGGAATTCTGCAAAAGATGTTATTTAAAGAGAAGGTTTTTCTACTAAATATCTAGAAAATGTATACGCTAAATGAAGGAAATATGTCCATACTAAAAATTTAACCCTATAATGTACATGCTCCTCATTTCTTATACTATTGCCGCTTCTCGGAGTCTTTCTCCCAGCCCACCCTGAGGGGACCAATACTGCTTCTTTTCTGAGATATGCCCGGGAACCCTCCTGTTGACAAGCTGACAGCGTGGCTTTGATCCAATGCTTGTAGATTACATCACTTAGCTCTGAGGTCATTCTTTGCTCTCTCATTCCAGGACCTTGGGGTACCTCACTGTGGTCCCTAACTACCAACTCATTTCTTATTTCCAATATAAGAAAGTATATTTCTTATACTATATGCCATCCAAAGATAAGATTTCAGGTGGCTAGCAGAGGGATAAGAGTTCTGTACCGTCGTTACCTCTCATCCTCTGGATCAGCTTGTGCAGCAAAAAACCTCCAGGGATCTTGTGAAAAATACCAATAACTGGGTCCCGTCCCAGCGTGGGTGAGTCAGGAACTATAGGCTGGGCCCCCGTTTAACAAGCTCCCCAGGTGATTTCCATACAAGTGGTCAGAGAAATTTTTGAGAAATGCTATTCAAAAACACAGGTAGGGGACAGGGTGAGTACTTCTCTCTAAAGTCTTCTCTTAAACTTAAGAAAGTTGATGAACACTTTTCAAGGAAAATCTTCTGGGGGATTCCCATATGTAAAATACACATCAAAGCTGAGCCACATGAGTGGAGGAGGCTTCATGAGCACCATTTAAGACGAGGCTTTGAGCTTTCCCTCCGCGAGAGCCCACAGCGCCTTCTTGTGGACCATTTATCAATGGGAAACAATTCTTGCTGGGTTGAAGGATTTCCATCACCTGGAGACATCCCCCAGGATTCCTTGCTGTGCTGTCCATCCCAGCCAGGCTATTTACATTACACCCCAGCTAGCTATTTACCTGGTAAACACCTAAGACACACTTGCTGAATGAATGAATGAACGAACGACTCTACAGTGCTTTTCCCCTTTCACATCCCCTCGAATACCAAAAGAATAAAACTGATAAAGTATGTGACTGGCTTTTTTTTTTTTTTTGTCTTTTTCCGTGTCCGGCAACGGATCGCAACCCTCAGTGTCGCCCCCGTACCGGACCGGACCGGCAACGGGATCGCAGCACTCGGTGTTGCTCCTGCGCCTCGCTCAGCCAGTGAGCGGGAACCGGTCTGTATGTGGGATCCGAACCCTCGGCGGGAGCGCCGCCGCGCTTCCCAAGCGGCGCACTTAAGCAGTGCGCCACCGGGCCGGCCCGTGACTGGCTTTTAAGTTCTTCCTTGTTTCAATTATTGTGATGAATGTTTAAAAATATTAATGAGTTTTATTGTTTAAAATGTACATTTCAATTGTGAACTTTTTTGTAAGGCAAGCCAGAGAACATAACCTCTACATTTTCTTCTTTTTAAACTTTAAACCTATACAGCCTCCTTCAGGCCTCTAAAAAGGACTATTTCCCTCTGTACAGTATAATATTCAGTATATGTCCATCAGTTCTACCCAAGTAATTATATTGTTACTATTCTCTCATCCAGATTTCATTTCCAGAAGACATGAACTTATTTTTCATTTTATTTATCTGCTGTCAAGGTGTTTAATTAAAAGTTTAAAATTCTCTATTGATTTTGCTAGGGGCAGGGGGAGTCGATTACCTGTACTTTTTCACCTGTGGGTCTTTCCTTTCTACTGCTGTTCAACACTCATTGCTCTAATATATTTTCGCATTCTATGCCTTATACCATCATAAAATAAGATTTGCTCTCAAAGCTTTTTGCTTTGCATTCTTTTTTGTTCAATATTCATATTACTCGTGCTTTCCTGAACCACTTTTCAGTCCCACACTTGACAAGTTTCCTAGTTTTGCTTCTGTGTCTGTTTCCTTTACATGGCTTCCTAATAAACAATGCATTGCTGATTTCTGTTTTTGAATCCCACTTGCGTCTCTCTTCCGTAGTTTATGAGCCCAGACTGTGTATGTTATTGTTAATCATGATCTGTTTTCTTTCATTGGTCTGTTTTTATGCCTCTTTGTCTCTTTCTTCTAGTATCTTTTTAGCATAAACTATTGTTTTCTTCTACCTTAAATACATCTTGAAGATGAACACATTTTATTTTAATTCTGTTAGTGATCGGTAAAACTGACTTAAAAACTGAGTCTCCTTTGGTCCTCTTGTGTTTTGTAAAACGTCTCTGTGTGTGCCTTTGTCCACAGTCTCAATCCTATGGATTTCAGGTCCCTCCTGGAGGAGACAGGACTGCACTTTGGTTTCTATTCATGTTGGTGAGGGTGGTGGGGGACGGGCAAGATGCAAAGCCCTCATGAAATGACACTGACTGCCCCAAATGACAGAGTGCAGCTGCTGGGGTCCCAGTGTGGCTGCTTCATCACTCCTTGGGCTGCTCACCCACACCGCCCCTCCACTACCTTCTACTGCTGAGAGTTCTGAGCTTTTGTGTTGGCAGCGAAACATGCTCTGAGTCCCTCCTCCTCATTTCTGACACGTTTCTCCATGACTACCGAATGTTACTAGAACAAGAGGGTGACACAGAGTTCAGTGACAGGAGATGGTCCTGATCCCGTTTGCGAGGACCGCTTGCTGCTCTGAAGCTGTGCCTGCGAGGGTGGCTGCCTCTGTCCCTGTTACCCCATGGTGAGCACAGGCCTCCCACGGCTATCCCAGTGACTCGGGGGAGCGCTTCAGCTTTGTGGAACACACAATCACTTGATCAGGAGCTGAGGGCTTCTGTCTCCATGACATTCCTCTGGGATGTCAGCCCGGCAGCTGGGCAGCCTGACAGGCCTTGTGGCCGTGGCTCAGGCCACGAGAGTCGGGTGTAGGAGCCTCTTACCTCAAACTGGATCAGCACTGTCCCGCTTTCGAGGCCCTTCTTTAGCTGTTCCATGGATCCCTCCAAAGTGTCCCCACCCTCTGGACACACGGGGAAAATGGCCTCAGGGAAAAGCTGGTTCAATTCATCTTCAGATTTGATATCAGCAAACGAGTGGACAGCTGTTAACACATAAGACGGAGTGCATCTGGCTCATGCAGCAACACTCCGGTTTATCAGCTTCCCACAAAAACAAAAAAACCCTCAAACACCACACTTATGACACCTGAATGCAGATGGATTAAAACATCTTATTAAATGATTAAGCACATGGTAATCATTTTCACCGAAGACACTACTTCTAGGTGAATGATTCAATACGTGTTAATTACACAAAATGACATACTAATCTTTCTGGTTAGTTTTAAATGATAGTGTTTAGTATTCAAAGGCTTTTGCGAAAGGTAAAAGAAAGGGAAAAGATTTATTCCATTTTTTTGTGTGTGTGTGGCTGGCAGGTATGGGAATCCAAACCCTTGACGTCGGTGTTATCACACCGCACTCTAACCAACTAAGCTAACTGGCCAGCTCTAAGATGTTTTTTTTTTTTTCCTTTTTGTCTTTTTTCGTGACCGGCAACGGTAAGATGTTTTTAAAGAAGGCACATTTTCTCCATTTGCTTTCTCTGCCCTGGTTATCCTTCTGCCCATCCTGACTCCTCCTTCCCTCTCGGGACCTTTTCATCTGCTCCCTTAAAACGGGCATTTTCCTGGGCATCGGGGTGAGGTCCTGAGCTCTCGCTGTGACACCACCATTCCTCAAAGCTTAGTTCTTAACGCGAGGCCATTTCTCTGTGGGAGGCTCTCCAGTAAGGATCTATAGTCCTCACATCTCTGTGCTCCAGCCCGACTTCTCCAGTACGAATTCTCCCTTCACGTCAAGCTCCACATGGGTGAAGAGACCTCGGCCCCTCCTCTCCCACGCTGCTCGATACCTCCACCGCGCTTGCCTGTGTCTACTGTCGCTCTCTCCTCCAAACTCCCAAACTGGAAACTTTTGGAACATGTCTTTCCACTAAGAAGTGGAAATTACTCTCTTACTCTAAAGCCTCTGATGGCTCCCTACTGTCTTCAAGATAACAGAAAGGAGATGGAGGGCCGGCCTGGTGGTGCACTGCTGCAGTGCGCCGCTTGGGAAGTGCAGTGGCGCTCCCGCCGAGGGTTCGGATCCCACATACAGACCGGTAGCTCACTGGCTGAGCGAGGTGTGGGTGCAACACTGAGGGTTGCGATCCCGTGGCTGGTCCCGGCCCGGTACGGGCGCGACACTGAGGGTTGCGATCCGTTGCCGGTCACGAAAAAAGACAAAAAAAAAAAAGAAAGAAAAAAAAAAAAAAAAAAAAAAAAGGAGAGGGAAAAAAAAAATGTTTGAGTTTGACCCAAATCCC